GAGGTGTGGGAAAATATCCCTGCATCTCTTTCTTTGAAAAACTGAAAGCAGGTTTAATATAGAATAGCTACTTGCTACTCTCAACTCAGTCAGTCACTCTCTTGTTCTTGGCAGGGGACTTTTCAAAGGCTGCCACTTTGCACAGTCATTGAGACGGCCTCTCTGCTCAGCAGGCTATTGAGAAGCAGCCTCATCATGCAGAGATGCGGCTACAGCAGAGCACTATCGCCAAGCTCCACACTGCCACACAGGAAGCATCCTGCGAAGCTACACAAATTACACAGCCAAGCCTTTCAATGCTCTCCCTCTTCACTCTTAGACTATTTAATTCATTCAAATCTTGACTTAATATTATGATCTGACCCAAGAAGCCAGCTGCTTTTAACCTTTCTCAACCATGCTTCAGTGCAGCCAGAAGCTATTTTCTTTCATTTGAAAATTAAATGGAAGGAAAAACACTTGCTCAAAGCAACACAAAAGCAGAACTGAACACTGTGGTATGATAGAAGAAGGTTATCTGGTTTGTAGACTTGACCTTTTGTTTTCTCTCTGGCATTTATCACAGTTTTAACTCAAGTCACAAAGCCATCCCAGATATATGAAGGCCACACAGAAGATACAAGAAGGCACTTCAACTACATAAATCATCTAAATGAAGCAGTACCGAGCCAACAAAAAGGGGACTTCTGCAGCGCACTGACAACTACGGACATCTGAGCAATTCAGTCTTGTGTTCATGGCAAAACTCAGCATATCTTTCTCTATACTTACCAGCGTGAAGTAGAACCTCTGGGTCTGAAACTACGGCCTTCATCACTCTGTTCAAAAAGCTCTTGCAATGGAAAATGACTGAATTTACTGACTGATCTTCTGCTACTGTAAACAAAGAAAGTGGCTACATTTGACTATTTAAATTCATTTCATCACCCTAACGCTTCTGTGTTAAGTGCATTAAACATGAACTCTTTTCACATCGATTAGGCTAATTTGGGCCATATTCACCAAACTTTAGCTCTGCAATTGCTCCTCATCGCTTTCATTTATTTTTTTTTTTACATGAAATAGCTGATCTAAAACTAAGACACTTCACCCCTCCCTATATATCAGTCGACTTCCAGATTTCTAGAATTACTCTTCAGACAATGTGTAAATGTAAAACAGTTTCTTACTTTATTTAGATAACAGTTAAATAAAATAAAACTTGGCAAATTTGGCCCAGTAAGTTACGTCCAAAACACTGCAAAATGACTAAGCCATTCTGAAAATTGTTTAGTGTTTCAAATATAATTTATTACAGAGGTTAGTAATGGTATGCTTTCCTTGGCACACATTCAAATATGGTATAATAATAAACTTCAATAATTCCTCTTTACTTGGAATAGACACTGTGTTATTCAGATTGCCCAGTATATATTTATATATAAAATGCTCTAAGATATTTCTGTTGATCTCCAATTTTCTCACCAACTTTGAAATCTCTGCACAAACGTTATTAAATACAAAGGCTGTGTTTCCACACTGAGCCCACAGAGACGAATAACTAATTTCTTGTTCCAAACTATCAAATTACAAGGAGTAAATGTAAAGTCCATTTTACATGCAAAAAGGTAAACTCTTAACCACTGTTCATCCCCAGCAAACTTTTATTCAACAAGCCAACAAACAACAAAGATCTGAAATGAAAAAAGATGCAAGCACCAGTTTACTGTGCAATATTACACGCCGTAAAATGAATTAGAAGCTGAAAAAAACTTCACTCACCTCAAATTGCAGTAACAGTTTGAATCAGGACTGAACAAACAAAAAAAATGAAGGACAGCATTTTTAAATGCCAGCCAAATGAGAATTTGCAATGCCTAAATGTTAAACTTGCTAGAATACTGTGTGGGCTCTCATGCCATTAATGAAGTAGAGACTCAAGGCTAAAATTCAAATATGAAATATAATATAAAAGAAAGCAATATGACAAAGCTATTTAAAAAGAAATGTGGGTTTAATACAATGAAATATTCCCTGATATTAGTGTAAAACAGGGGTGTTTATTCTTATCCATAAACGGCCAGTGTAGCTGCAGGTTTTCATACCAAACAAACAGGAGCTTACCTGGTTTAAATGACTGATCATATGTGATCCTACTTTGTTTGAATGTGTAAAGTATTGTGACCATCAAATCTTCAAAATACTGGCTTCCCTCCTTTAACATGCACTCAGTTCAACCATTCAGTGAAAAAGCACCTGAAAACAGATGCGTGCTTAGGCTACTTACAAAAAAACAGAACCCTGGCCAGCAATCTTGTCCAGAACACAGAACTGCTTAGCAAGCCACTGGTTCACAATCCCAGTGCCTAATTTATCACACCTCATTTAACTAATCAGCTAATTATGTAGTCCTTTGTGAGGTGGGTCAGGTGAGCTCTCTGGGAAAGCCATTGTTTTCTTAGCCTCAAATTCCAGGTGATATTAAGTTCATATAGCCACTGTTGTGCAAATAAAACTCTACTTTTGAGGGATGTCCGTTCTTTTTCTAGTAAATCACAGCCATAAAAGGCGTGTTTATAAAATGAGGCGGTAATTCAAACATAAATGCAAGTATATCCCATTTAGAAGACTTATCAATTCCATAGAATTAATCCATAAGGACAACTTCAAATTCATTTACTTTAATATTCATTTAAGGTAAGCAAAGTAACTAGTCTTAACTAAAGTGAGTGTTGCTCTGTACAGGGGCTTGTTTGACACTCATACAGGAAGGACTTTCCTTTGATCATCTTCTGAGAGGAATCTAACTGGCCATGGGAGCCATCAGCTCCAATCAGATACCACTCTATTCAATTCCATGGTTAAAATTTCCTTTCACCAGATGTCCTTGCAGAACTTAAGGCATCAGGCACTGAGACTTTGGTTGGGCTTTGAGCTTCTCATCATGTTCTCTGAGGCACAGCATCTACCAGTGACCCTTCAACTTAAATTCAATCAAGTGTGATATCATGCATTATTCAGTGAAGCTCGCTGTAATTCTCCCTGCTTCACGGCATTTGAAACTGTTGAAGGTGCAACAGGGAAAAGCTCATTCTTTACTTCATAGGTCGCTACTCCCTTGAAGATTTTATGAACAGTGACTTTGGATCCAAATAAATCAAGAGTTCTTGCTCTAATACACAGTGCAAAAGAGTTGAGCCATGTCATTTTAATGTTCTGCTTGAGGAAATGTAATCTATAAATTGCTTGCGTAATGGGTTACACATAAGAGATTTTCAGTTACAAACTCTGTCACTGCTTTTGTGTCCAACCATACTGATCTGACAGAAGCCACTTCGCTAATGTTGAGCAGGTTAGTGTGGGGTACAATTTAATGCAGGGTAAAATGTAACAAAGATTTTATGTAGTTAAACAAGTTCAAGTAGAACATGCTTTTGGTTGTATTTCCATCGTATTATCATCTGCAAAGTTTGACAGCAGCTGGGTGGATATTTCTCGAGATTCATACTGAATTCATTCCTCTATAATTTTCATTTGCCTTCTTGGTGGTTGTAAAATAGCACTATTTTGAAGCATATAACTCAAATTCAGAGCCAGTCAGGCTAAAGTTCAGCCTCCACATGGCAGGGCTAGTTTTAACACAGCATTATAACTAAGCCTCCTACAGTAAACAATGAGAGAGGGCCAAATCCTCTCTCACACGTTGGTTATGTAAGATAAAGGACAGTTCATATCACACGATATAAATGAAAGTGAGTAAATTTGCCTATATATAAATCCTGACTGATTTTCAGAGATTTTGTCTACTTGCTAATAAAGCTCTAAAAGAGCTAAAGTGCTCTATTTTCCCCTAAGAATGAAACTCCTACTTGTATACTAATCTAGGTAATATTTATTAGTATTAAAGTCATTTGAGCTTCCCTGTCCAAAGCCTCCACACTAATAACGCTCAAAATGTAATACTTGTACACAGCACAACATTTAAACCCTTCAGGATCTTTAGTATAAGCTCCAAAGGAATTCAGAAGATGTGCCCCCCACAGTTATTGTCCCACACCTGAGCAGCTTCATGATACTTGTTTTGCACTGGTGTGAGACTTAGACTGTAAGGGACATAATAGTGCTTCCTTTGAGAGTCTCTGAGCCTCACTTCCATTTTCTGCTTGTCATGTCCAGATGAGTCTCAGTACAGTGTACTGACCTACTGAAGCTTTAACACTGAAAAAGCATTATATCTCAGTCAGGAGCAGCAGAGAGGTCCATAAACAGCAAGTCTGACTGAATAGCTGGAACAGCATGTATGTATCTGACCCAGCTGTGAGTCCCTGCTCTTCAATGCTCTGCCTGACACCGCTACCCACACTAATCCACAGAGTCCTCTCAGTACACTAGAGCCTCCATGGGAGAAAGGGCATGGAGCCAAACTACAAGCTGTGCTTTATGGAGTGGGAGGGAGCTTACTGGGGAGTTACCATCAGGAAAAAGGAGAAGGTGCTTAACACCAGAAGCAGCTCCAATAGCTTCAGCAAGACCCTCTCAGCAGATAAATAACCACTAACAAGCTTAGCAAACAAACACTCTGCAGCTCAGATATAAAAGGCTGATCAAGTAAGCGTATCCATAACATTATTTGAGTTAATTCAAAACAGACTGCTTTTTCTGACGGCTTAAATTACAGAAGTATATGGACCTTCTCAGTTATTTTTCCAATTAAGCAGAACAGCTGCATGAAATATTTAGCAGAATAACTCTAAACAGCTCCAGGCATCATTGATTCCTTTAAATATGTGTGGGTGAGAATAAAAAAATAACAAAAAACGCAAAACTTATTAACAATATACAACTGGTCAAAACACATTCAAATTCAAGAACTTTGTCACTGATTTTCTTCAAACAGAAGAAGCAGTCTGGTACAGTGAGAGAGTACTCAATGCAGCAGATCTGTAGCATACTAGCCTATAAGGCACTTGCTCAGAAGAGTTTATAGTAAGTCAAATATGTGTTAGGGTCAGTCTGCTCACCTCCCAGCAGCTTAGACTGGCAGTTGACAAACTCAGGTTTTCTATCTGCGCTGTGGCGCTGGCAGGTGTTGTGGAGGACCTGAACAAACATGCACTTGTCTCCAGAAGAGCCGGCCACCCACTGGTCAAACGCATTCTCAAACGTCAAGTCAAACTCTGGGCAATCCTGTGCAATGACAGAAAGAGAAAGACAGAGAGGGAGGGAGAGCAAAAGGGCAGGAGAGAGAGGAAGTACAGAAGGGAAAAAAGGGCAGAAAGAAAGTGAACAATGCTGTATAGAAAGAACAGCGGGGGTGAAAAATATTTTAAATGGCTGAGATGGACAGGTGAGTACAAGAGAAGAATGACCAAGCAGTTCCCCTCCTCAGCCAGCATACTCCACAGAGCCACAGGCCTGTCCACAGTGACCTGGTATGGTCCAGTGACTCACCCTGTTGGGGTCCATGCCATTCACCTGCCTCAACTGGTCTAGGGTCCACTGTGATCTCCTGACAAAAGAGGAAGAGCCCTCAAACTGCTTCACTTTCGTGATGGACACCTGTGCTGGCTTCTTGTTGGTTACTGAAACGAGAGTTCAGAGAAAAAATGAGCTGCATAACACTGAGACGTCTTAACTGAACAGTAAAGCATGTTTTTGTCAAAGACAAGGATTTAGTCAACTGCTGTGTGGGTGTGAGCTCAACATTGAAAACTAACATTTTATACTGTATTTGTTATAAATATTGACTTTGGCAATAAATAAATAAATAAATACATAAATAAATAGTTATTCAGCTCATTAAAGTCAACTAGATCATTAAGTTTGTTTACACCTTGCATCGTTTTTATCGGAGGCAGTTTACACCTTGCATCGTTCTTGATATACCAATCATGCATTTTTGTTGCTGATTCCAAATTCCAATAGACTTTTCCCCAATTTATTAATTTCCTTTTTTCTTATTTAGTCAATAGCTCACACTATGTGGACTAAATGAACACATGAAGTACAAATTTCCAGAGTTTTCTATCAGCCACAGTCAGCCAAACACTACTTCCTCTTTAAGGGGCCAAACTGGCATATTAAATTAAATTAAAAGTCAGCCGTCTATTTAAATAACATGAATCAAATAAACTCCTACATCGAAAGCAACAGGCAACTGGCCTGCATTATGTCATAACATTTTGGTGTGGGTGTAGCAGCAGCACTCTAATGCACCATGAGTGCTCTTAACCACCTCATGTTATTTACATTTTATTTATTATATTTTAATGTATTTTTATTTAGCTTTTCTTAAGTAGGAAATCCCTCGAGATTAAAATCTCTTTTTTGAAAGAGACCTGGCCAAAATAGTACACCTTTTACAGTTACAGGAATTATAAAACTGCATCAGAAAACATCATAAAATTGCAAAAGAGAAAATAAAAATAAAAATGAAAGTGGGTAACTGCCAGTTTGGGGCAAAAAGCTAACTGAAGTAAAACGGTAACAACATGTGTGTTAACGTTTTTTATCCCCAAAAGTAAAACTGGATGTCATCTGGTCACATTAGAGACACATTTTAGTGAAATAAGTGTAATTAAATCTGGCCAAAGTATATGCAGATACAATCCAGACATTAAACATGTTAATGTAAGGTGAAATCAAGCTCACTGGATGGCACCCTCTTGATACCTACTGTTTAGGAATTATTCAGAGGTAACTATTTCCTCATTTCAGAAATTTCATAGAATTCGAAGAGCAACCTGACAAGATGAAACTAGCAATGTTGTTGTTAATACAGTGAACTAAGAGCATGACATCATATACAGTGCACAAAAGAAAGAGAAATGCATGCTGTACACACATCACCACCTACAAGTTCTTCACATTAACACAAACCTACAAGGAGCTATGAACACTCCAACATGCTACAAAACACCCACAATATATCCAGCATCTCTTCAAGGCATGTGGCTTATTGACCAAAGGTCAGTCATTAGCATCCTCCCCCCTCACTCTCTCTCATCAACTGAAATTCCACAGCTATACAGAGAGGGATCAAATGAAAAATGTTTACTGATCATACTGCTTGTAGTAAAGCTGTGGGCGGCGGGCCCACAGCAAGACCTTTAGAGGGAGTTCTGCTCCCGTACTGTTTATACAGGCCTCTGCATCCCTCACTGCTTCTGCTTTCTGTCTCTCTCCCCCTCTCTGTCTTTTCCATTCCCTCCCAAACTTGGTCCTTTTTCTTTCTTCCATTGCCCCCGACTCTCCTGTAGATCATCCCTCCCTTTCACCTTCTGTTTGCCTTTGGGAGGACTGTTGTTGTTTACCTTAACCGGAGTCTCCAGGGGCTGGTGGAATGCAGTGAGCCGAACCCTACCTCAGCCGACTTACTGAAGGAAGGACACTATCAGCTGCACACGTTTAAAGCATATTGATCGTAAAAACGTGGGGATACTTAGCTTTTCAAAATGGTTTTATTACAACTGATCGTGTTATTAGGTTCTAGTGACTTATCAGCTAACCAGATCTATTTTGAGGAAAACACGTGTAAAATATTTGTGGCACTACTACCATGCATTTTATCTCTTTGTGGTGATGCCAGTGGGGCTGTCAAATGCAATCAGAATTCTACAATATTTTTCTCACTAAAAATATGTGGCCTGAACTTACTAACGCATGGAAACAGGATCCTAATGTGTGGCCATGACTTAGTTAGTGGGAATGAGATAACCAAGTTGTTCCCATGCCTTATTAAATCATGGCCATGCATTAAGACCCCACTCCCACGCCTTGGTTTAATAAGTGATTATCAGAAAAAATTTCCCTCATTTTGTTTTGTCTTGTTTTATTCTAATTTTAAATATATTATTTAAATAAAATATTACACTTTGTTGCAAAAAAATAAGTAAGATACGTTTACTGCAGTAAACGCCAGATTTCTCAGTTAAATGCTTTGTCTCCAGTGATTCTCAACCATGGGGTTGTGACTCACATTATGGTTGTAAAAGGTACACAGGCCTGTTCTGATGAATGTTTGAGAATAACATATTCATGCAATTCCCATCCCAGTGATATCCCACTGTTTTAATAACCTAGTAAGACTGGCTGTGCTGTGCAGCAGTTTAGTCAGGCAGCTAAACTAGCAGTTCACTTTACTTCCTTACAAATATTACATAATTATTAGCTTACTGTGCTACAAGGCATCCAAATTCGGATCATTTGCTTGTCAGAAAAAAGTCTACCATCAGAAGCATGTAATGTACTTAACTTATGTATTATTTCTTTGAGTTGCTAAACAGATGTTTGCAAACATTGCCATACAATTTAAAACTCTAATTAAAGCCAAAATCATTGATGTTTAGTTTGTTTACGGTCAGCGACGCCATGTTCTTCCCTCTGTTTGATAGTAGCTGTTTGTGTTAATGTTACTAATTGATAATGTAACTAATTGGTCTGGAACATACTGGGAACTGCAGCAGAGGTAGCTTTAAACATTCAAATGGACCTTCACTACTTCGTAATATGCATTTTTCACTGGATTTGATGAATATTCAAATGTCAGGTTTTATTTTGATAGCCCACTCATCAGCACTCAAACCTTATTCTTTTGGCTCAAAGATTTGTATCTTTGATATCTGATATCTATGTGATTTTAACAACTGAGTTTAACTCATTATTGAGGCAAAATCTACTCTTCATTCCAAGAAACTTCCTTGACACTTAATGTTTGATGAACATAAAGACGAGTGCTGCAAAATACATTACTAGAAAAGAGCTGCTGTTAAAATATCAACAGGTACTTTTTGTACTTAATAGGAAAGTATCGGCAAAAACAATGAAAGTAATAGAAATTTCACATCTCAAAAGCAGGCCCAAAACTGCTGTGTGTTAAACACTAGATCATTGTTTCACTAGATCACTACACAGTCCCACTGCGGATACAACTTCATGATTAAAGCAAAAAGCCTTTTTGGACTTATTAAAACCTCCTGTGTGCATACTAAACCTGGGCTCTGCGCCCAATGTAATCTAGCCTAAAGAAATTCCTACAGCCTGAATAAGTCTCAGAGGAAAAGGCTCATCCTGTACAGTAACACGGCTAACACGTGGACCTCATATGCTTGATGAGATTTCATTTGCTTATCTAATAAAAATGCCAAAGTGACAGAGGAAGACATATGAATTTCCAACTAACCTTGAAGCGAGCTAGATTTAGTGAAGATCATAAATCAGCGATGTACAGCCAAGCACAGCATGCAGCAGACAACTCATTCATATGGAGACCATTCACATCCTTTACTGAGAGCAAGAGAATGAAAGCAAGGGAACTAGCGGATTATAGAACTGACAATCAAGACAGAGATGGAAAGCGGGGGGGGTGAGCGTGTTCCTACAGCAGCCTAAACATCATTTCTAGTGAGTGAGTTTTGAGGGAACCATGGTTATATTTCTTGGCACTGGCACAAGGTTCACCACACTGGGGGCAGAAAGCACTGACGCAAGAGCATTCTTTGTGAAGATGGAAACACTGCTATTGCAATTCCCTTTTGGATGTTGCGCCAAGGACCTGAACAAAATGAAAACTGTGACCTGCCTGCTGATCAGCGAGTGGTGTCGTCTCCCAGGAGCAACAGATCTAAAGCACACTGAGCACTTAGCTCCACAACGACTCATCCCAAATCCAAATTAAAGGCAAAAATTAAATAACACAAGGGAATCGATGCTGAGCCAAGCAATGCAGACACTCTGCTTTCACATTTGGCAAGCTTCAGCTTCTGACTGACAGATTTGTCACTGCTATATTCCACAGCTTCGCTGTTAATCACAGAATTTGCGGCCAGCTCAGTTTCAAAACAATCGGCCTGGTGCCAACATCCAAATGACAGTTACGCAACGGCCAAATAAAATGGGAGGGATGGTAGAAAACATCTTTTAATATCCATGTGAGATCTGACTAATTTGAAAGAATATTTTATGTACACAAGATCCGTCATCTCGCAGAGCACCGAAGCATGCTTGAGTTCAGTTGGACGTCTCTTACAAATATTTAACTTAATCGACCATACAGCTGTCTCTTTCTGAAGTGCCTTTTCACTTTGCATCTTCATTTGCATTTCATTATTCCTCACTGTGTCACAGAGGGAATTTTCCTAAGATCCCAACAAACTTTGGCTAAATATTAGCATAGCTGTGGTCGACAGGATGGGGTGAGAATAACACTACTAAGAAAATGAAAACAATCCTCCTGATAAAATTACAATCAGTATGTGGTGCTGAATCACAAAAAAAACAATTTCCCTAGTGCACCACATCGTTCATTACGTTTATATGTGTAATATGAACAGAAGTGCTAAAGGGAGAGACTAAAAATTAAATAAAAGTAATCCACATTAAACTAGCTCTTACTGAGAGCACAGCTGATATAGAGCTGTGTTATTGTGAGTAGTGGGAACACCCATGTGAGCGTGGGATGCAGGAAGAGTGTAATTTCATTACATTATCTGAGTCCAAGCCTGTCAGTAAAGCTCTCTGAGCTCCTGCAGCCGTTTTCACTGTGGCACAATATGACACACACTGTGTGAAAGGGACACGGCTT